TCTATAGTGAAACAGATCACCAGCCCAGGTTGGATGCATGAGACAAGTGCTCGGGCCTGGTGCACTGGGAAGACCCAGAGGGATCGGGTGGAGAGGGAGGTGGGAGGGGGGACCGGGATCGGGAATACATGTAAATCCATGGCTAATTCATTTCAATGTATGACAAAAACCACTGCAATGTTGTAAAGTAATTAGCCTCCAACTAATAAAAATTAATGAAAAAAAAAAAAGAAAGTGGCTTGGGGAACTTACTTAGCAGCTAAAAAAGGGAGTAATGAGTCTTTGGAAGAAGAGAGAGGGGATGTATATGAGTTATATGAGGATGAGTCATTCTTCACAGTTTGCCCTTTAATGAGGCATGAAAAGAGTAAGGCGATTTCTTATCTGTAGTTATTTTCTGGAAGAATGGGACTCCAGTAAAATCAATTTTGTTCTGGCTTAGACCCAGTGAGTGGAGTATCTTATACAATTCCATAGCAACTATATTTATTGGTTCCCCCATGTCATAAAATAATCAGAGATATTATAGACAACAGATCTAAATGGAGTTGCTTATTATAAACTCCACATCATCAGATTTTTAAATTATCATTTCAGCTCTCCTAGAAATGGAATCTTAAGCCAGCCAATTAGGATTGCATGATCAACATTAATTAGGTAATCTACCTTAGATGCTTTTTTCTCTCCTATAAGGAAAGTAACAAGTAACAGCACAAAAACAAATGTGTTTCTGCTAAGTACAAGTCTCCTGCCCGCTTCTGCCTATAAGCATCTTTCATTTTGCACAGTAGTTTAGTTGCTTCCTTTCTGCTAGAGAAACGATGCCTGAGCATAAATCACTGAATAAAGCCAATAAAACCTTTAAATTTTACTCAGTTTAAATTTGTCCCTTAACTTAAGAAGCATAATAAAAATCACCACAGTGAACACTGGACTATTTTCATTCCTTAGAGTTCTGTGAACATTCTTTGCTATCTTTAGGGTATTTTCCAAAGTTAGGAACACTGGCAATAGTCCAGTTACTATTCCTTAAGTCCCTTCTTCTCAAGAGGCTGCTCTTCAAGCTCACTTAAAATGTCCAGCAAGTTATTTCTAAAAAGAGAATGAGTTTGGAGAAGCCCTATGAGCAATATTTTAGGGCTGATCATCTACGAGCCTTGGTTATTGCTTAAATTTCCCCCCATTAGTTCTGTATCAAGGAAGCATTGTGGAATTTTATAACTCTAAGGAGAGACTAACTACCATACAAGTAGCTCTCATTCTCATTTCTTTTTTTTTTCCATTTATTTTTATTAGTTGGAGGCTAAGTACTTTACAATATTGTAGTGTTTTTTTCCATACATTGACACTAATCAGCTATGGATTTACATGTATTCCCCATTCTGACCCCCACTCCCACCACCCTCCCCATCCTTTCCCTCTGGGTCTTCCCAGTGCACCAGCCCTGAGCACTTATCTCATGCATCCAACTGGGCTGGCGATCTGTTTCACACTTGATAATATACATGTTTCAATGCTATTCTCTCAGATCATCCCACCCTTGCCTTCTCCCACAGAGTCCAAAAGTCTGTTCTATATGTCTGTGTCTCTTTTTCTGTCCTGCATATAAGGTTATCATTACCATCTTTTTAAATTCCATATATATGCGTTAGTATACTGTATTGGTATTTATCTTTCTGGCTTACTTCACTCTGTATAATGGGATCCAGTTTCATCCACCTCATTAGAACTGATTCAAATGTATTCTTTTTAATGGCTGAGTAATATTCCATTGTGTATATGTACCATAGCTTTCTTATCCATTCATCTGCTGATGAGCATCTAGGTTGCTTCCATGTCCTGGCTATTATAAACAGTGCTGTGATGAACATTGGGGTACACATGTCTCTTTCAGATCTGGTTTCCTCGGTGTGGATGCCCAGCAGTGGGATTGCTGGGTAGATGGCTAACAAACACATGAAAAGATGCTCAACATCACTCATTATCAGAGAAATGCAAATCAAAACCACAATGAGGTAACACCACACGCCAGTCAGAATGACTGCTATCCAAAAGTCTACAAGCAATAAATGCTGGAGAGGGTGTGGAGAAAGGGAACCCTCCTACACTGTTGGTGGGAATGCAAACTAGTACAGCCACTGTGGAGAACAGTGTAGAGATTCCTCATTCTCTTATTTCATCAGCCCAACCATGTCACTGCGCTGTGCTGTGCTGAGTTGCTCAGTCGTGTTTCACTCTTTGCAAACCCATGGACTGCAGTCCGCCAGGCTACTCTGTCCATGGGGATTCTCCAGGCAAGAATACTGAACTGGGTTGCCATGCCCTCCTCCAGGGAATCTTCCCAACCCAAAGATCAAACCCAGGTCTTCTGCATTGCAGGCAGATTCTTTACTGACTAAGCCACCCTAGAAGCCCAAATCATTACTTCTTTAAAAAAGCATTTTGGAATGTTCAAACTGATCCCCTTGAAGCACAGACATCTCCCTTCCAGTAGTCCCTGGCTCATATATACTTAAATGACCCCAATGGGGCTATGTCCTTGGAGATAAGGTGAGAGAGTGAAGAGTTAGAAAGGGAGGGTAGGGATACAAGGCCCACTGTGGAGGAGAGGCCATGAAGCTGAGGGGACTGAGAACAGACATGATGGCAGCACTCGGTCAGCCTCTTCTCTTTATTTCTTCCCCATTTTATTTCCCCTTGATCTGTGAGTTCTGGCTCAGATTTTTCCAGAGTGTGTGCATCCTGCTAAAAAAATTAGCAGGTGATTAATTTCCTATTAAAGTGAGATCTGAGGGCCAGCAGCAAGGGAGTGAGGGCATTTGCAGAAATGCAGAATTTCAGGATCCTACTAGGCTAGTAAATCAAAATCTAAATGTTATAAAATTCCCGGGTAATTCATTTGCACATTAACTGGAAGAAACCCTTAATGGGGTTCAGTACATATTGGCACAAAATATGGCATTTTTGTGTATTGTATATTTGAGTTGAAGACATTTGTGAAAAGGCAGGTGCAGGAAGGACTTTCTGACCTTCATCTTAAGTGGTTCATAAAACCCTCCAATGAGGTTACCCTTCTTATTTCCTATTCCTTGAGGAAAGGAGCATTCTTATTCAAAGATGGAGAAATATTGAGGGGCATCTAAATACACAGGCCTCGCTAAGTTTTCCCCAATTTCTTACCAATAGCTCAACCCCCATTGCCTATCAAATTTCTTCACCAATGTCCACTTTTCATCAAATGTGGAATAAAAGAAAAAAATTGGGGGGGATCTTCATTTCCTCATGAAGTAGCCTATGCCATGAAAAACATATATTAAATAAATGTGTGTGATTTTCTCCCATTAACCTATTTTTGTATGTTTAATTTCAGATCCAGACAGGGACTCAAAAAGGCTCCAGGAAAACCTTTTCCTCTCCTACATCTGGGACTGTAGTATGCAAAGAAGCAAAATAAGTCTTGCTGCTTGCTTTACTTATTAAATGCTTACATTTTTACTCTTTACAAATTTGTGTAGCAATAGAATCATCAGGGATTAAAAGTCACACAGAACATGGAGAAATTTTTTGGTTCAGTTCTACTTGAGTAAATGATTTAACCTCAAAGCCTCAAGTACAATATGGGCAAAATAAGGGTAATACAAGTTATACGATCTCCACAGATGCATAGAAGTTTAGATGACTTAAGAGCACCTGACTTATAACAGAAACTTAATAAACATCAGGTCCTTCTCCCTAACAAAATAAAAACATACCTGAGAAATAGTGATGCCTTAAGATTTAAATGACACACATATTATTGTTATAGGTTAACTTCTTGGTTTATCCAGAGTTCTTACAACAAACTTTGGGGAAAATGTCAAAGTTTGGGGACAAATTGTAGACAACATATATGATTCAATGAAAGGCTTTGGATAGGAATTTGAAAAATGCAAACATCCCTATGCTGAATTCCCATGTCGATGGCTGTTGACTAAGAGAAGTGATCAATCTATGATCATTCTCACTAAAACACCCATCATTGCATTAGTTCATTAAAAACAAACAACAACAAAGACAAAATTCTTTTTAAGAAAAGTTTCCTTCTTGGCACTCTGGTACAAAGTTGGAGAAACTCATCCTTATAACTATCTATATCACTGTGTCTTCATACCTGCTTTACAGATCACCTAGAGGTTTTTGGGTGATATGTGTTTTCCAGTCCACTCAGCAAAATATATACAGTTTTGATGGAACTAAGCCAGTTGTAAAGAAGTCCAGGGAAAGGTATATAAGTTGGGAAACAAAGGTAAGACCCAGATCTGATCCAACAATTCCAGATTCCATCAATGTTGCCCAGTGGAGTTCATAACCAGGCTAGAGATGCCTGTCTGGGCCTTTCACTCTTACTCCTCTCTTATCTCTGTCATGCAGCAACAACCTCCTCAATGCCCCCTTCACCTCTTTGTTTCTGAGGGTGTAGATCAGGGGATTTAGGAGTGGGGTGACAATGTTGTAGAAGAGGGTGAGGAACTTGCCTTGATCCTGGGAGGAGCTGTTTCCAGGTTGCATGTACATGTAAATGATGTTTCCGTAGAAAAGTGAGACCACTGTGAGATGGGAGCCACAGGTGTTGAAGGCCTTTTGCCTGCCTGACGCTGACTGAATTTGTAACACAGCCCTCACGATGTAACCATAGGAGACCAGGATAAACACAAGGGGTGAGAGTACAATGCCCACTGCCAGTACAAAGACAGTGCCCTCAATGGCAACTGTATTCACACAGGCCATTCGTATCAGGGCAGGCATCTCACACAGGAAGTGGTCCACACTGTGACGCCCACAGCGGGGTAAGCATAGGGTGACTGGGGACATGGCCAAGGAGTTGGCCACACCACAGCCCCAGGCTATCAACACCAAGCCTAGGCAAAGCCGGGGATTCATGATCACCATGTAATGCAGGGGCTTGCAGACTGCAACAAACCGGTCATACGCCATGACTGCCAGGAGTAGACATTCCACACCACCCAGACCCAGGAATAGGAAGAGCTGGATGGCACAGCCTGTGTAGCTGATGGTCTTGTCATGTCCATTTAGGTTATACAGAAGCTGAGGGATGGAGCTGGTGGTGAAACTAAGGTCCAGGAAAGAGAGATGGGTGAGGAAGAAGTACATGGGAGTGTGGAGGTGAGGGTCCAGCCGAGACACCAGGATGATGGTGGTGTTGCCCACAAGGGTCAGGAGATATGCGATCAAGATAACCACAAAGAGGATTCTCTCCAGATGGGGCCGATCAGAAAACCCCAAAAGGATGAAATTTCCCTGGGTGCTTTCATTGGTTCCATCCATCTCTACTGCACCTGAAGAGGAATATTGATACTAATAATGCAAACAGCCAATAAAATGCAGTGTTTACTATGAGCCAGGCATGTGTTGTTTACACATATTTACTCTTTTAACTCCAACTAGAATGGTATGAAGTTGGCACTCTTACTATCTTTGACCTACAGAAAAGGAAACTGAGACAGATGTGTGTTAAGTAAATTATCATATTATAGAAGGGGCAGAACAAATTTTTGAACACAGAAAATGGGGCTTAGAGTCTTTATCTTTCACTGATGATAGTGCCTCTAATCTCAAAGCCAGGAAAGATAAATCCTGCCATGGCCCAAATATTGATTCTTCTTGAGACATAAGTTCTTAAGCTCCTGCTGTAACCTCAAAGGCCCAAAGACATATTCATTTTATGCAGAATATTTATCTATTCTTTATCCCAAAGACACATTTCACTGATTTGATCATTATTCTTGAAGTAATTTTAAAGTATCTGTACAGATAATGTATAAGACAATAAAATATTACTAAATATATGCACATAAAATTAATCTCTCTGTGTCTCTTTCCTGCCATCTCTGTCTTTGTCTCTATGTTTCCATCCCTGTGTGTGTAATGTCTTTCTCTCTCTCTCTCTCAGATATGTCTTGCATAGAAGGAATAATTTTTTTCTTCCAAAATACTATATACTGCTTGAGGAAAAAATGTAACATTTTGTAATGGATAATGCAACTTTAATGCAATTATTTACATATATGTTCAGAACTTCTATCAAATTAAATTCCAAGAACCCATCACATTTAAAGCAAAGAATGTTTGAGGACACAAAAGCAAGTCTTACAGACAGATACAGAGAAGTAGATTGCAAGCAATTTGAGTTATAATTCCAATCTCCTCTGTTAAAATCTCTTAGCCAACAAGATACAATTTCAAGCTATTTGAAAGATCATTTACCTTTACATAGTTTTCCCATCTAATATGGTCACACTCAAACTATTTACACTTATGTTCTGTTATTTTATTAATATGAAAAAGTTGGTAAATATGAAAGTTTATATGCATGCTATATAAAGCTCATATGACATACAAAACAAAATGAGACTAGGCAGGAAAATTCTGAAGAAAAAAAAATCTAATGAGGAGAAACTATCCTTTATATATATATACAAACATACACTGAAAATATAATAATTAAAACATGATCGGAATTTCCTTGGTGGTCCAGTGGTTAAGAGTCCACTTTGCAATGCAGAGGACGTGGGTTCCATCCCTGGTTGGGGAGCTAAGATCTCACATGCTGTGGGCAGATAAGTGTACATACCACAACTAGAGAGAAGCCATTGGGCTACTGAGAAATATCCTGCAAGTTGCAACTAAAACCTGATGCAGCCAAATAAATAAATATATAATTAAAAAAAAAAAAGAAAAAGAAAATGACAGCAATATAAAAAACACGATCATTGAAAAGGCATTTGGGGTTGGGGAGTATGGATCTATCCCTGAATTACTTCTTTCACCAAACTAGTTACAAATCAAATATTTAAAGTGTTAAAAATATAGCCACTATAAGAAAGTCAACCATTGCTCAATACATCTCTCTTTCTCTTCTTTATATTTCCTGATCATCTTGGATTTAGGTAGATCTTACTAGATAAATTGCAATTTTTGAAAGTATGAAGCAAAATATATATTTGATTCCATATTTTTAAAAAACCTATACTACAAAATAGTATAGACTCCCACAGAGGAGTCTGGTGGGCTGCCATCCATGGGGTCGCACAGAGTCAGACATGACTGAAGCGACTTAGCAGCAGCATACTACAAAAAGACAACTAACAAAGTCTAAAGAATAATGTCAATATTATAGAATTTCAACATGAAAACTGAAAGCTACCTTAATAAGAAAATATTTAACAAAGTAAATGTAGATAATAATTTGAACATTTTACAGAAAAACAATTATTTACAATCATGTGATAAAACATCAGAATTGTTCTCACTGATGATTGAGTATATAAAGTATAAATATAAATGTATTTGCTTCTTAGATATGTAAGTATTTATAGGTGTGGTATATACAGATTTGGGGAAAGTGTGGGGAAATGAGCCCATTAACTCCTGATAGGAATTTAAATTGGAATAGTATCTTTGGCATAATAGAAGAGATCATTAATTATAAATAACATATATGCTGACATTCTTCATGTTATTTTAACAAAAACAATTATACCTTATAAAATTTTAAATCACATGTGAGGTTTTTTTGACTCATTAATTCTGCATATTGGAATCTGTCCTGCATTTATTAACACACAACATGTAATGCAATTCCTACAAGTCTTCATTATAGTATTGATTGAGACAGATAATACTCAGAAATAATATATATATTCAGTTATTGAAATGATTTAATAAATAACAACCTTGTGAACTTGAAACAAATAACTACTAAATAAAAATAATATATGTATGTGGCTTCACTTGGCTTTTTTTTTTCAAAAATCTTACTACTTTTAAACAAGGAAAAGGCAAAATGTAATGTATAGTGAGTTTATATGTGGTCTGGTCCCATGGTTTTGGTCACTAAATCTATATATAAATATTCATATCAAAATAGAACCAATATCTAGAAATATGTACATTGAATTATCAAAAAGACTCACTTCTAGAACATGAGATGGAGTTTAAGGGAGACTTTAATGTTTACACATCTTTTGTTTATAAAATAGGAAATAGTAATCATGAGTTGTTATAAAATTAAAAAAGAATATTTATACATGTATGCGTATAGGATTACACACCTAGAAAATGTCCCTAGAAATGATTCTGTCTTTTTTAAAATCAGTTAATGTATCTTTTTAACTTTGTTATTCCTTCTTTACAGAAATCATTGCCTCATCCTCCTTTATATATATATATATATATGTATTTATCAAACTGAAAAAGGAAGAAAAGTAGGAAGAAAGGAAGTTAGGAAGAAAAAAAGACTGAACGAAATTTTCAGTCTACATAATACCACCAGTGTTTTGAAACAAACTGATGCACAATTTCATACTCTTAAAATTGTAAATCCTGGGATATAAGAGAAAATTGAGCATGAGATGAGCCAAATGCAGTGACAAGCAAGAGTTCAGTTTTCAAGAGAACTGGAGATCCGATCTCTTGAATTGCTTTTACAACTTTGATGTAGAAGTAAGAATGGCTTCTTCACAGGAAAATTAGAGACAACTGAAAGAGAATGTTCTTGCTAGTTTTCAATCGAGAAGCTGCCCCTTTTCTCCTGTTCAAGTGGAACACTTGTCTTAAATACTTGGGACCTGAGACAGAGTGTCCACAGGCCTTGTTGCTATCACACAGCTTTCTACATGGAAGAAACCCACCTCTCAGATGGGATCCAGGGTACCTTCACTTTCTAAGAAGCTCTGGGAAGGAACTAATATTTCCTCCCCTTATATTCAAACTTTGGAAGGAATATAATAAGTTTTCCTTTCTCTGTTTGAGGTCCTTCTTAGCATACTGGTTCAGTATTAACAGCCTCCCCTACCTTCTCATCTCTCCACCAGTGGTTTGTACTTCATAAGTACCTTTTACAGCCACTATGAATATCTTCATATTTAATGCAGTTGTGCACTTGTGTTTTGCACACAATGAATTTTATTGTATGTCATGTGGATTTGTCACCACTGTCTTGGTGAGGGGAGAGACTGGGCAAAAACCCAGTTATCTTTCATTTTATATACATGGTCACAGCTTGGGAGATCAAAGAATAAACAATTCATTACTTAATGTGGTAGTTCAAGTCTTCCCTATCTTGAAGAAACACTTCCTCTTTATTTTTCAATGGTTAAAAAAAGAGAAAAAAAATGAAAGGCAGTAACAAGTGCTAATCTGGAGAGATCAAAGCTCTCCCTACCCACATGGCTGATGACTCATAGAAAGGTCAGGAAATGAATCCAATTATTGACAACTCACTGTTTTTCAGATATAATTTTGCATGAAGTTGGAGATAGCAGAACAGATCACCCACATGAAGACTACTGATTTTTAAAACATGTGTTCAAATTGAGCATTTAGGAGAGTGTGTGCTGACACTGTACCTAGAGGTAAAATCTATCTTCCTTGTAGATGCTGGTCAGCATGTGAACACCGTGGTCCCCAAATGCACCATTCTACCTCAGAAATGCACAGACTCAAACAACAAAGCAAAAAAAAAAAAAAAAACATATTTTTTCAGCTCCTAGAGAGCAGGAAGTCATACAATTACAATTATAGTTTATTTCCAAAGCACGTCTAACCTTGCAGATTCAATAATCTCAGACTCACACAAAGGGTAGCTATACTGGCATATGAAAGAAAATGGGACTGATGATTTCAGAGTAGACAGCAGGCCTAGATCTTCCCAGTCAAGGGCTGGCATTTCTCCACCTCCTCCCATGAAGCTATAATATCTTCTTCAATGCTATTCTTTTTTAATGAAACACACCTTAGATCTTACTTTCTAATGTTTGCTTGACAGATAACAAACTCCAGCCCTAATGCAAAAAATGAACTTTTATGCTGTATTTATTCATATTTTGTCCCTCAGTACTTTTATATATTATTATTTAAAAATTATTTTGTATTGGTAAATTTATTGCTTTCTTATGACTAAAAAATAAGAGCTTTATATATTTATTTGTCTGTAGATTTGTGTCTTGGCATGGAGTCGCAAAGAGTTGGACATGACTGAGCGACTGAACAACAATGTCAGTCATAATCCATACATTTTCCAAGAGCAAGGAGGATGTTTCTCATTTTCCATTTTTCTATTTCTTCGATACATTTCACTTTTTTTTTTTAATTTATTTAACAAACCAACAAAGGGTTGCAGACTGATGAGCAGAACTCCTTTGTTGGATGTTCTGAGACCTAGTTTCCAAAGTGGTAGATAGGGGGATCCCCACACCAACAAACCTTGGACACCAGTAGAGTGTCTGAGAATTCAGCTCAATTCCCAGAAAAAGTATCAGATTTCA